GTTTCCACCCTTTTCGGACCCCATAGATCTGAGTGAACATACTCAAAAGGTCTACTAGAATTATGCACACCACTCCCAAACTTCACTCTGTGTTGTTTGCCTTGAATGCAATTATCATAAAATTCTATTTTATTTTATTTCTCACTCCCTATCAAACCTTGCTTATTAATTTCAATTAAACCTCTTTCACTGATATGTCCTAATCTCAAATGCCATAACTTAGATTTGTCAAGAAGGTTTTGACTAGCTACTGATGCATGACCAATAATAATGGAACCATCCAAAATATATAGCCCACACATTTTGGATTCTTTAGCCATTATTAATGCACCATGCAAAATTCTCAACACACCATGTTTAATTCTAGTGCAGTAGCCTAGATCATCAAACATGCTTATGGACAACAAATTTTGCTTATGTTCGGAAACATACCTCACATTACGTAGAAGGAACTCACGGTAATTAAACATTTTCATTCTGACTGTACCAATACCATAAACATTGTCGGCCTTATTATTTCTAAGCCAAACGACTCCACCTTCTTTCAGCTCCAAAGTTTCAAAATATTCTTTTCTTGAACACATGTGATACGAGCAACCTAAGTCTATAAACCAACCTTTTTCTGTTTCCAAACTTGTTACCACTAGTGCGTCAACACTTTCATGACCATCTTTGTCTAAGGCAATTAAAATCTGAATAGAGTCACCCTTGTTCCCTCTTTCAGGACAATCCTTCTTGAAGTGACCGATTTTGTGACAAGTGAAGCATTTAAACTTTAACTTATCAAAAACCTTAGACTTGGACTTTGATATGGATATCTTTCCTTTCTGGTTTCCTCTACTCTCACTCATTCCTCTTTAGACACTTAAGCCTTCACCACTATCGTCAACCTTCAATTCTTTCAACTTTGATAACTCCTTCGATCTTACGGCCATCTAGACTTCATCCAAAGTGATAGTTCATTCCTTACCATAAAGAAGGACATCCTTAAATTTCTCAAAGGATCTGAGTAATGAGCTTAACAAGAGTAAATCTTTGTCCTCGTCTTCAATTTTCACATCTATATTTTGAAAATCATCATCGATCTTGTGAAATTCTGTCAACTTCTCCATAATAGATTTATTCTCCACCACATGGAAAGAATACATTTGTTATTTCAGACATGACCTGTGAGCCAATGACTTTGTCATATATAATGATTCAAGCTTGACATACATCTCAGCCGCGGTCTTCTCCCTCGCGACTTCCCTTAATAATTTATCTTTGAGGCATAAGATAATGAAAATTTTGGCCTTATCCACCATCTCAGTCTTCTCAACTTGTGTATGGTTTACATGCATAGATGTCTCTCCCTTCAATGCTTCTGCACACTTTTTTTGAATTATATTGCTTGCACCTTTACCTTCCATAATCCAAATTCGTTGTCTCCGGAAAACTTCTCAATGTCTCATTTGGAACCCATAGTGCTCACTTATAGACTTAACCCTTTTGCCCCACGGTGGGTGCCACTTGTTGTGAATAATGACAAGGATCAATTTCAATCAACACTTTGATGTATGTTGGTAAAGGACAATGTCAACCAAATAGAGGGCCTCAAGCAATAAAAATAATAGCAGGCGAGAACACAAGAAAATTGTTTACCCTGTTCGATCAAATGATCTACGTCTGGGGGAGAGAACAACTCTCTAATTCACTATCTTCAAAAAGTTGTTACAAGAGATTACAAATGAGTTACAAGAAAATAACATTCACCTTCAGAGTTCCCAAGAACAAACCCTAAAGGCTCCCAAGAACAAACCCCTATTTTATACCCCAAGTGTTTCCCAACCTCTCCAATTCTCAATAATGTAAGGAAACACACCCAAGATGTCAAGAAGTATTATCTGACCCTTATAGATAATTCTAAAAGGTTTCCCTTGATTACAAAACCATTGTTTCTACCTTATGTCGCTTATACCTAACAAATGAGAGGAAACCCATATTTATAACTAACAAAATATTAACGGGCCCAAGATATGGCCCATTAACAAGCAGATCCACAAACAAACTCAAAATTATCCAAACCAAAATGTCTCTTTTATTTCTCTTTTCTCACTTGAGGTTTTAAGGTATATTAAAACACAAATGTCAAAATTTCTCTTTTTCTCATGGGTCACTATCAACAAAATACGTATTTTATTTTAACTAATAATTACCTTTATTTGAGACATAAATTTTAATTAATAATTGGTTTTTGGAAGACCCATAAATCCATAGTCAATTATAGAGGTGTAAAATTGATTCTGGATGATTTTGAAGTGTTTTTTAATCAAAAACAGAATTGATTCCGCCTTTAGAATCGATTATACTTGAAACTAATTTGTAGTTTTTACCTCCATAATTGATTCTGAGTGATTTTTATCCTAAAATTTATTATTCAACTCACTTTTACATAAATGTATCCAAACATAAATTAATTATGTTAAAATCAAGTCTACCAAACTCAATTCTATTAGAATTAATTTTGTTCACCGTCAATCTAAATACACGTATCAAAGCCCTGTAGCAAAACATTGGCAATTTTGAATTTTATTGCAGCCTGATTCGTTGAGACTTACTAATGAAAAAAAGGTACATATAAGATAAGGGAATTTCTTTGGCCACTCTTATATGGGTGAAAACACCTCTAAAAACCCCAAAATACCCTTCAGATATGCATATCCGAACGAACACTTAAAACCATTTTCAAGATGTTTCAGATATGCATATCCAAAAATCCCTTTGTTTAGACGTTATAATTATTTAGACGTTGGATTTAAATATTCAGTGGTATTTTCATATATTCATATCCAAACGAAGCCTTAACTACATTTTAAAGGTATTTCAGATATGCATATCTGAAAACCCCTTGTATAACAACGTTGGATTTAAACATTCAGTGGTATTTTGGGATATGCATATCCGAAAATACTTTTGTTACATAAGTTAGATTCATTATCACCACTACCACCATTTTATTAATTTCATTTCCCCACATAACCAAAACCTACCTCAAAACCTCAACCTTTCTCAACCATTGTTTCGTCTCCAAACCAAGTTTCAAGTGTTTTATCATATAGAAGAGAGCATAAAAAGCTACAATTTAAGGTAAAAATTCCTCATTTCACCTCTCATTTACTTGCATTGATTATGAGTTTTGGATGAAAAAATAGAATCACTTTGGATATGCATTTCCGAAACCCACCTAACATATTTCATATATGCATATCCAAAAATATGTCTGTTACAGAAAAACATAATTTTTTTTTAACAAATTTTCAGTTTTCACCTTTTTTAGATATGGTGCACCTCGACATGTTTCCAAAAGCTGTTGTAAAGGACTCGGACAAGGTGGGTGAGGATGTTAAGCCATAAGAGTTGAAGGACAATGCTAAAACGACTATCGCTGCGATAGATGTTCGACAACAATTTACAAATGATCAAATTTTCAATGCTCGTTAACATATGCTAGATTGGGTCTGAATTGAAGCTAGCAAACTCGGGTTTGGCATTGTGATTTGAAGGTTAGACAATGGCACTAGTAGAAGGATAGAATTTGTAACGATGACATTGATAAGTTCCAAAATATCATTATTTTGTGTATATAATTTGTCGCACTTAACAGTTCTTTTGTTAAAATTCTTTGAATAATTCCCCGCTTTGTGTGTAAATATGTATACTTTGCATATTATTATGTTTTCGATTCATTTATGTACCTTTTATAGTTTTAATGTATTTTTGTAGGTATTGATCTGTATTTGGAGCATTAGAAATAAAGTTTCGAAGACACGGCTTCAAACACATAATTTTGAAAGAAATAAGTGTTGCAGACGGTGCTAAGTGCGGTCTGTGCGCACTTAGCGCGCCCTGGGAGCCGAAGAGAAAAATATGGCAGAGGCGATCACACTTAGCGCAGTATTTGGCGCTTAGTGCTCTCTAAGGTGGTTTAGTGAATAAGTGAGTGTGCGCTGTCATACCCCAATTTTTGACCTAAGATCCCTGCTTCATTTGCATTATTTTATACATACATCAAGGTCACAAAATATGGTAGGTTCCGAACGTTTCGCTTTCGAGCTTTGACTGTGTAGAGATTATCGAGTGTTGTGAGCATTTTATCTCACGAATGACTAACCACTAATCAAGCACGAAGTGTATGTTTCGTTGTTTTGTTTTCATGTGCAGGAAATAGGTCTGAAAGAAGAGCATCGAACGTCATACATCGATTAGGGTTTCGAGTCTCGGAATAGAAATGCGATCGATCGTCGATTCTCAAAAAGATGGTTCATCAAAGAATTTCAGAGAATTGAAAACCAGGCAACACCGTCATTTTCGATTTCTTGGACCAAAAGTCCTCTGCAAATTTTCTCATAACGCGGGGTGAATTTCGTCAAATTGGGATGATTAAATTCAAAACCGTTCTAGAAGATTTTATTTGGAATATTAGGAATATTTCTTCATGTGAATTCAAGTGATAATTAAAGAGGAGCTATCAAGAGATCTCATCCAAGAATAATCATTTATCGCATGAAATATTTATTCAAGATTATTTTTGTTATTATTTTGGTGGACTTACATGAAGCATTTATTCAAGAAGTTAGTGGGAAAAGGAATTCAATCCAATTAATAGGTCATCACAAGACTAATTACATGAGCAATTCTATTTGATTACAAAATTAATTCATGTGATTTATTTGGATCTCTATTACAAAAATGCAAGGTTAAAGTGTAAGACTTGCATTATTATTTATTCATCATTCAACAATTTATTCAAGTATTATTCATTTCTTTCCCAATTCAAATGGAAGATCTTGAATTTTTATCAAGACATATCAAGATTCATGATTATATGAAGATTCAAGATTATTTATAACCACCAAAGGAATTGAGAATAAATTGGAGAATACATGTTTATTCATGTTACAATTTATTTGGACTTGTTGTTACAAAATTACAAAATAAAATACAAGTTTTGTACATGAAAATCAACTATTATTCTTGCTATAAAACAGTCCCAATGCTGCCCATTTTTCCAGCACTACATTAATCCATAATAGTCCATTATTTTTGAGTGTAGTGTTGTCCATTTTCTTCATCCTTGTGTCAACAAAAACCATGCCAAGTTGATGTCCAAATATGCCCTGCAAAACAGCCCAGAATGCAGCCCATAAGACAAAAATCTGCACATTTTGCTGTTACAAAAACAACAACCTGATTAAAATCGAAACCTGTACCATCTTAAAACCAGTTAATCTTAGCACCTGTTAAAAAAAACTTAGAATCTGTTAACAGTAGAACCAGTTTATCCATCCAATCCTTAAGCTTCAACCTGCAAAACAGCTTAATCCGTTCCCAAACCTTAGTACTTGTACCAGCATAGAATCAAAACACTAGCATATCCATATCTGAAACCAGTTCAGCATAATACCTGTTAAAAAAAACAGAAACTGGAACCAGTTTATCCATCCAAACCTTAAGCTTCAACCTGCAAAACAACTTAATCCGTTCCCAAACCTTAGTACTTGTACCAGTATAGAATCAAAACACCAACATATCCATATCCGAAACCAGTTCAGCATAATACCTGTTAAAAAAACAGAAACCAGAACTAGCTTATCCATCTCCAAACCATAACCTGTCGAAACCTTAATTTGTCAAAAAACAGCATAAAACCAAAATGGTGCGTGTTGGAAAGAAAAAAGGGTTTAGAGTTTGTAACCGTTAAGCTTCCACTCACAAAATCTTCTTCACTCTTCTCTCAATGTAAACGGCGCGGCACAACACCGTCACATTCTTCAATCGCCGCCACGGCCTCAACCTCTGTTACCATGTCCAATTCTCCTTCCCTGCTTCACTCATTTCGACTCGTCTCCGATTCTTCATTCCTTTATCTTCGTCTATGATTTCAGATCTGATCGATCCGATCTACTTCCTTGCACGATTTTTTTTTCAACTCCAAATTCCTTTTCAACACAAGCAGTAGAAACACAACAAAATTATAGAAGTGAGAGAGGCTTACCTACTAGAGAACTATGGTGGCTCTTCATTGACATAGAGAAAACGAGAACTCCAGAATAGGTTTGTTGAAGATCAATGTTGCAGAACATTGATGTTGATGATGAAGCATGATTTCGCAGTATTGATGAAGATTAATGGAGGATGTTGAAGATTATGCAGTAGCTTGAAGAAGATGAAGATTTTTCGTGAAGGTTTACAGAGAGAGGAAGATGGAAGTGTTAGCATTTACAGAGAGAGGAAGATGGAAGTGTTAGCGTGAATAGAGAGAGAGACGAGTGTTTTTTTATATATTTTATTTTAGTTTTTTCTTTTAATTGTTTATTAATAATATAAAAGTTTGTTTTTTCTCTTCCCAATAATAGCAATAATAATTAATCTTTTCTTCTTTCCTAAAGCTAGCCGCCGCGCCTCTCACTTGACATATTAGGGTTTCCCAATTTTCTTGTTCCTTTCCTCCAAAGCGGGTCGGCCCATTGGGCCTGTTTGGTCCAGCATCCTTACCAATTTTCCCTTATGTTCTAATTATATCATGTTTATAACGAATAGAAATCTAGCTCAGCTGGCAAAGTAGGCTACCCATTACCTTTAAGACCCGAGTTCAACTCTCGCTGGGGCATTTTTCTGCTCTTTTAAGCTCTTTCCCTTCAATTTCATTAATTTGATTATATATTAGTTTACTTTATCATATAATTATTATTTAATTACAAAACATAAGAATAAACATGTTATTTTAAATTTATCTTTTATTTAATTTTGTCAACATGCTATTAATTTTTTATTTAATTTTTGTTGTCGTTTATTTAATTATTCAAAAAAATACATGTTTCTTGATTTAGTCTTTGTTATTTTTTTTTAATTATTAAAAATTCATGACTTTGTAACTTAATATTTATGTAATTTTGTTTATTTACTTAATCGTTCAAAATGCATGCTAGTATAATTTAATTTACATTAGTTAATTGTTCAATTGTCATCTTAATTAATTTTGTCATCAATCGTTAATCTTTATATCTTTCGTCCGTCTCAATCCAAGGGAATTGTTTAAATTTTTTCGACTTCATGTCATCAAACACGTATCATCTAATCGTGTGAATACCTTCATTCATCTTTCATTTATTATTTTGTTAAAAACTTAAGATACATTTTTCCAAAGATTCAATTTTTAAACTCACACCTTTTAAGTCAAAAATTCGGCATTAGGTCGTCGTATCTTCAAAATCTCGTCCATACCAATTTTTGGCCAAACAAGCTATTTTAATCAAACAAACAATTTTTCTATAAACACATATTTAAAAAGGTTTCTATAGGATACTATAGATACATTGGGTGCTAATACCTTCCCATTGTATAACCAACCCTCGAACTCTAGATCTCTTTTCAAAACGCCTTGTATTTTCATTACTTTTAAGTATTATTTTACATTGCATATTTTAGGGTTTTATTTCACTCTTTTCCCTCTTCCCTTGGAAATAATAAAGCACGGCGGCGACTCTTTCTTTTGTGAGACGAGTCAATTAATAGCTCGATCTCTGATTTACCCCACTACATCTTTTATCGCTACATGCGCTTAACACGGGCGTTGGCGCTTAGTGCGATCTGCGTAACTCTATTTTGTATATATATATATATATATATATATATATATATATATATATATATATATATATATATATATATATATATATGTAAAACATATTTTGTTAGGTTGTATCATCTCTTTCCCTCTTGGAGGAGCTCTGATCCAATTTTTTGCAGTTTAGAGGTTTACCTAATATCATTGGGTGGTGCATCTTTTCGATTGGTTATGGGTTGTCTCGGATCGTGTTGACACTGCGAGAAGTTTCCTATTCATCTCCTTCTTCCCTATGTATCATTCAAATGGTGGGTGTTGTATGTATATATTTACTCTTTATGTATGTACATTTGTTGATCATGGGATTGTATGAAATCTCTTTTACAAATTAATACCAGTGTTTGTTCTTGATTTTTGCTTTATTACGTAGTTTTGGTTTTTCATAGACATATGCTTACCGAATATTTTTCTTGAATGAATATCTATTATGTCCTAGATTCTAGACATAAATTTAAGCTTAATATTCATGTGAGTATCAATTATGAAAACCATCTGGGTAGTTTAAGTTGCGCGTGAGATCTCCTTTGAGAGCAATACGTGTGATGTCTCACTTTGCATTAGAGATAGCCTTAGTGTAAGTGATACGTGATGATATTGACGAGTGATTTAGGTTGCATGCAATTGGTCCACAAGTTTAAGTATTTGAAGAGTAGAGTGAAATGCGATTCCAGAATAAATTCTCTTAGGCTATAGTTGATTGTTTATCGCTTTCTTTATTGTTTTATTTACTTTTCCTGCACTTTTTCCGCAAACCCTTTTCCAAACTTAGAAGGGTTAAAACTATGGAACGGTAGTTTTTCTTTCTCACTAATCCCTATGGACGCGATATGATATACCCTAAAATAAATACTTACTTTTGCTTACCACTTCAGCAAAATGCACCATTGTCGGAGATTCGTGTTGATATTAATTACATCACGATAGTTTTGCTTTCTAAGTTTCATAAATATGTTTATATCATACATTTGTGCAACTTTTACATACTTGTTCATTTGTAGATAGTATACTTATTTTGTTTCACGTTCTCCAAGTGTGGTTAGATGTGTAGTTCCGGTTAGAGCTTGAAGAGATTTGAGCGAATGTGGGAGTGAAGTATTTGGCTCACCCGAAGCAATGTGTTGGTTTGTAAATAATAGGTGTAATATGGTGGGAGAATTGACTTTTGGGTTTTGCATTTTATCGTAAATGTTACAGATATCAAGAGTCGCCACCGAATTTTCTATTATCCAATAAAGGAAAGGGTGAAAATAACATGAAAGACCTTTTGAGAATTTTCTGAGTTCGGGCGGTAGGTTATGAAAAGGGAAGGTATTAGCACCCTTTTCATCCGTAGTTATCTACGGGCTCTTAATTGCTAGCTCACTTTTGAAATGCTTTGTGTTTGTGTATATCTGAAAATATTTTGAAAATGCCTAAGTACGACAATTTTGTAATGATTCTCGTATCATTGAGAATGTATATAAAATGTTTGTTTTGAAAATATTTATTGGAAGAAAGTGTTGTTTTGTGGAAAGTTGTTTTGAAAATACCAATGTAAGGCAATTTTCTTTATAATAACCCTTGTATCAATCCTCAAGAGTGTTTATAAAGCTTTTTGAAAGTAGTTGTTTTGAAAGTGTGAGATGTAAAAATTGTTGTAGTTTATGAGAAAGCGATTACGAGCGATTTACCTACTCAAAAGGTATTTGTTCTTTTCCTCCCCCCTTAGATAGTGCTACCCTACCATTAGTTAGTAGGAAGCCCTATCATTGGATGTGAGGGACATGCGTGGGTCATCGTACATTCATAGAAGGCAACTTGTATGACGCTTTAGCAATTGTCGTACGAGACTAAGATCGTTTACCAAAGGCAACATCGAAGGGTCATCGAGGGACTATGATCCTTTAACCGAGGGTTTTTGCTAAAGCATCTCACGTTCGAGGGACATGACTGCTTAAATATGAGGCAACAAGTGAGGTTATCTTAGAGGTGCGAAGTGTTTTGATTTCAAGTATTTGTGTTTGAGATTAGTTTATCTAACAATGGATTTTAATCTTGCCATACAAACCCTAATTTCTCACAGTAATAAGGAAAGTCGTAAATTGTTGAAATTAAATGTTTTAAGCTATTACAAAGACTCGGGAATAGGGGTACAAATTTATGAATGGGGATGAAAAAGAAGTAAACCCTAATTATCTATTACAGGCCATAAGCAATCACATAATCAGAAAAATGTGAAATAATAGAATACGTAAAAATGTAAAATAAAGAAAAGAGAAAGGAAATTGTTTTTGTGATTTTTTGATAGAAAACAAAGTTTTGATGATTAACCTAATTATTTGATTAATTTTCATTAAAAAATAGTTTAGTAAAAAAAACCAAAAGAAACTAAATTAAATTTAATAAAAAAAATCAATTAATTAAATTAGTTAAAAGGAAAAATAATTTAGTTAACTTAATTAAAAACCTAAGTCTAAGTTAACTTTAAAAAAACTAAATGTTAGAAAATAGTTTTGATGTTAATGTTAATTTAAACCTAATTTTAAATCAATTAGAACTTAACTAAATTAATTTTAAAAAAGCTAATTTCTAATTAATTTTAATTAATCAACAAAATAAAAAAAGTCAAAATTAATATGGATTAACCTAAACCTAATTATTTTTTAAATAAAATTATATTTTTTGTATTTTAATTAAATAAAATAAATAAATAAAAGTACAAAAAGAAAATATAAAGAGTAAAGAAAAAAGATTAGGCCTGGCGTTGTAAAAGGAAATTGGGAGGTATGAAAAGAAAAAGAAGTATTACGCCCAACATAAAAAGTTTGTTTGAAGTAGAAAACTAAAATAAAAATTCAAATGGGCTTGGTGTTTGTAAAAGAAATTGGGAGATGTAAGAAACAGACCCACTAGGCCCAACAAGCTTCAGCGCTGAATCCTGTGTGGAGAGTCCTTGAGGGCATAGCATGGGGAGCATGGCCTGGAGCACTTGATTAGATGAAGGTGATCTGAGGATGAACTGATGATGAAGAGTTGAGGGCGCACCATGCACGCATTAGGTTTGCTTGCACTAGATCTGAAAGAACAAATATGTGAAAAAATAAAAGGGTACCGCTGGGGCTCAAACCCAGGTCCCTTACATTAGCGCCCGTTTGTTTTACCACTGGGGTGGATGTTTCATCCGGTTATGAAACGCCCCCCAGTAAATATATTATAAACTTGTTTTCAAATATTGAACTTCATCTTCTTCCTCGCGCGCGTTTGATAGTAACAACAACAACATTTTCAAATTTTGTGAAAGCTTCATTTCTCAACCAAATTTAAAGACGTAAACATCAAACTTGCTTAATTTTTTACCACGAATTTAACCATGTAACTTTTGAAAGCTATAAGTTAAAGGCTGAAGTGAATTTTTCTTGGTACCAAACTGAAACCTAATATTTCAGAAACTTCAATTCCAAAATTATCATCACATAG